ATAATAATAACAACAATAATAATGTCCCACAATGCACCACGAGTACTTTACATTCATTAGCATAAAGAAACAAAAGATACATTCGGGTTGAAAAACGACCTTCAAAGTAAATTTGGGGCTGAAGTCCAGCGAGCTGCGAACTCATATTTTAACTTTAACTTATTGAAACTGTTTCAATAAGTTAAAATACAGATACTTAAGGGATGTTTTATGTTTTCATGTCTTCCTGTCACATAAATCCATAATTATTACAAACATTGTGACGTCGTATACTCGTAATAAAGTACAACAAGCTAACAAATGTACGAGTGCGTTGTGTTATATCTGAGCATGTAGTGTTTGTTATAAAGTAATCACACTACACAAACATTCCTAAAATCACTAAAGCTGCTTAATCAGGAAGGTTTTTAACTGTTTTTATCAGTTTTAACTATTTTATGAGTTAAATGAATTGATCTGGTTTTACAGTGTACGTATGTAACACACAAATAATAACAATACAAAAAAGTAAACAACTGTAACATTACGAGTAGCTGTAAATAAACCGACTTTTATTAAGAAATGACGGTAGTTTGTGATCAATAATATTGATAAATATAGCAATTTCTGATTGACCCAGATCAGTTTCTGTCTTAAATTAATGATTTCAGATTAGCCCCGCCCCCTGCAGTTAAGCCCCGCCCACTCCGAGTACACAGAGTACTTGCTTATTATTACAGGGTTAGGGTTAGTTCTGGTTCTGATCGAGTACATCATCACAGGAAGTGTGGTGGGCGGGGCTACCTGTGGATGGGGGCGGGGCTATATGAGAAGTTGTTACTGTAGGCCTGAAACAGGAAGTGATGTCACAAAAAGAAACAAACGTTTAAAATATTTTCACTTGTTGGTTGAAGACATGAAAACATAAAATACAGAATTACACCTTAAATTATGTTTCATTACAACACTGGCCCTTTAAACAGGAAGTGATGTCACAAAGGAAGAATGAGTTGGCCAATTAAAAGGCACGCAAACTTTGATATGACCCCGCCCCCCCGTTTCACAATCGTTTTCAAATTAAAAATCTAAATAAAAACTGAATGTTTTGTACGGAGCCCCTGAAGGGTCACAGTGAGCAACGCTCAGCCGCCGCCTCCCGTTCAAACATTGAACCCAATCAGCTGGTCGGGAGGTCAGAGGTCAGAAGGCAAACTGGGAATCAGCAGCTTCCTGTTGGGGTTTTTTTGTGGCTTGTTTCCTGAAAATTATTCCAAAAAAAATCCAAACAAATAAAATAAAATCGACTTCAGTGTTTGTTTAACGGTGGAGCAAAAATAATATAAAAACAAGAGCTGCTTTGAATTAATTTTAATAGAAAAAAAAGAAGGTAGGACATTTCAACCAATCACAGCTCAGCTCACACACACGTATAAATACACACACGCAGGTACGACAGGTGGGCGGGACGTCGAAAGCGTTACCTGTTTCATCTTCTACAGTATAAATACATTCATGATTTAAAAAACCTTCCCAAAATATATATACCAACAATACGACGTGTAACAAAAATGATTTTTAACTAAGTGAAAAAATTCTACAAAAAATTCCAAAGTCAGTTTGACGCGACCCGCCACCAAAACGCTGCCCAGACACCACGTAAAAAAACAAAAACCAGCAGAATAATTCAGAAAAATAAGGCACAGAAGAAGGTTGAGATCACAGCCACCTAAAATTCTGCAATAATAATAATAATAATAATAATAATAATATCAGCCAATCAGACCGTAGCATGAGGTGCCAGTGGGAAAGGCACGTTGCTGAAGATTCAAAAAGTTTATGAAAATCCGAGTAAATTAGTCAAAGTTCCTGAAAAAAAAACAGCAAAATTCCAAGAATTTCTGTTAAATTTCACAGATTTTAGTTTTCAGACGTTTATGAAAAGGCAGTTTATTATTTATTATTTATAATTTAAACAATGAAAAAGGCAAATAAATGTAAAATCTTTTGGAAAACTGGATGAAACGATTTCATTTTGCTTTTTGCAGAAAGTTATAGTGAAACATAATCAAAAATAAATAAGACGTAAAAGACGTTTCCAAGACCAATTCTTTTTATCCATGCTGAGAAACTTCCAAAATAAAAGACAATAAAATATGGAATCTTTCAATCATTTGGGAAAGAACAGGAATTATTTTTACTTTAATTTAAACATTGAGACAAAAACAATTCGACTCACATCAGCTTCTCGTTGGACTCCACTGCCCACAATGCATTGCTACTGGGCGCTCAGGAATGTGCTCTTTAACCTCTGTAACCATGGCGACACCCCGTCACTGTGATGAGTGTTTGTAGGCACAGAAAGCTTGGCTGTGTCGGGGCTCTCCCATTGGTCCGTTACGGGCCAATCAGAGGCCCCGAAGTCTGGCTGGATAGTCAGCTCCAGAGGTCAGAGGTCAGATAAAGAGGGTCAGACGGAAACAAAAAGCTCCAGCAGAGGGTCAAAGATGGTGGACCTGGAGACGCGGA